TTTATAGTAATTATTGGCTGGTAAAGTTCCCCACTGTGTTTTTTTTTTTTGCTTTCTTTAATAGTGCATCATGGCTCCCTGTCTTAAACTTTTTGAAATCTCACCCACATCCTTTCCAGATTTATCAATATAAACAAATATATTCCTTCACCTTCACTGTCCTTGGTTTTCTTAAGTTTAACACCTATTGCTTTTTAAGATACTTTAGCCTACTTTATTGTGTTAGACAGTTTAAATTTAAGGGATTTCTCGCTTCCAAAAGTCTGGAAACCCTTTTTCAAAAGGTAAGTCTGCTCAAACAACGGAGCAGATGTTTTAAAAAGCTTTGATGAGGAGAAAAACAACAAAATAAAGCCTGAAGTAGGTACTGGGAAAGTATCAAACCTCTACTTACACACATATTATTTTCCAGTGGTGCCTTTAGAAACATCTGTTTTTTTGTGTGTGTTTTGTTTTATGTAAATCAAAGTGATTAATAAAAGGCAAACCAATACTAAGTATACAGCGTAAAACTAAAAACATTGATATATTTCCAGAAAAAAAAAAAAAAAAAAAAACTCCCGTTGCTGCAGTAACGGCTGCTGGCTCGCGCTCACAGCTCAGTAGCTTAAAGACACCATGAATAAACCCAAGAAAAGTCGTTTCAAAGAAGGGTTTATACATAAAAAAGCAGAGTTAAACCAAGTATCCCGTTCAATGAATAAATATAACTCACCTCCACACCGAAAGCTCCGCAGCCCTTTATAAACTCCGCAATGTTCCTTTGACACTCGCTGTCGCTCCTTGGCTCCTGGAAAAACTATTAATTAAAGAAAGGGTTCAGATTCAGATAGTCCTCTAAATCTTTAATTATTTCAAACAATATATTTCAAACAGGTTTTTTAATTTAAAAAGTATTACTATTATTTATTTTTTTTTACCCCAGGCGTAGTGGGTACACTTGCCACTTGCTGCTTTCCAGGATCAAGCAAGCTAATAAGGACAACTTCCGGTTTAAATTTTAAGAATAAAAGTACAAAAATCCTAAATAACCTTAAAACGTGATTTTTTTGTTGTTAAGTAATTAATGCATAAATATTTCAATATATCTAGTAGTTAAATATATATTATCTACAATAAACATTACAGGAAATGCTATGGTTTTACGAATAAGAAGCGGTTGCTTCTATTGATATCTGGTAAGATGTTTCTCGGGATTTTATTTTGAAGGGCAAATTCCCGCACCCCGTGGCTTAGTGTTGGGGTTTTTATTAGCTGTGTTGTGTTGACAGAAGCTACTTTAATTCAAGTCTGCAGCCAATAGCTCAAGCGTATCTTTACTGCAACTGGATAAACTGGAGGAGGATGTGACGTTGACAGGTTCATGGTCCATTGTTCATGAGTTTAAGAGGCGTGGTTAGATATAAAGGTTTGTTTGTGTAATATATACATGCAAAATTCAAATTCTTTTATTTTTTCCCCTGCAGTTTATTTTCAGAGAGGTTAATTTACAAGACGCTGTATTTCCTTTTTAATGATTATTCATGCAGCTCGTTTTTGTCTCCATCATGGTGATTTTTCAAACTAATTTAAGTTTAAACACATGACCTCCATCAGGAATATGTATTCTGCAAAAAACATGAACCATTAAAAGCTGACAGCAAGTAGAATAATAGTCAGCTGGTCTTCACTGAATTCAAGAAAATCATATAGGGTCACATGCTCTCATGCATAAACAGAGAAAGTCTTGTACGTCTTTCATTTATCTGTTGGATTTAGAGCTACAAGCACAAACCATCTTCTTTTTTCACTTCTATATATGGAAGAGGATTAGGGCCACTGAAAAAATAAAAAAGTTAACTGATTTTTAGATTATATTTTAGTTTAATATGGGAAAAAGTCAGAATTCTGACCTTTTTTTCCTCAGAATTCCGACTTTAATCTCAGAATTCTGACATCAATTTCAGAATTCTGACTTTTTTTTCTCAGAATTAGGACTTCAATCTCAGAATTGTGACTTTTTTTCTCAGAATTCTGTTTTTTTTTCCCCTGAGAACTCTGACTTTAATCTCAGAATTCTGATTTTGATCTCACAATTCTGACTTTTTTTTTTATCAGAATTCTGACTTTTTTTCCCATATACAACTGAAATAAAATGTAAAAATCAGTTAACTTGTTTTTAACTTGTTTTTAAGTGGCCCTAATCCCCTATATCCTCTATATACATGTTGGAGTCCCTGATAGAAAAAGAAAATAGGTCAAAATTGGATGTGGCAGGTCAGACATCATATTAAGGGGTGATCAGTGTATTTCTAATAAAGTATATATTTTTTTCTTGTTTATGTATATATTTGATTGTTCACACAGTGGTTCTGCATTCCTTTTCTTTTTTTTTTTTTCTTTTTTTTGTCTTTCTTCCATATTAAATAATAAACATATAGGCTAATTGACGCTCGTTTTCAAAATAGATGCCATTAACATTTTATATTAGATTGGACACAATAAGTACCCCCACAACAAGTTAACAGTGGTCTGAACGATAATTGTTATTTGTATAATTTCCTTTTTTGTTCTACAAATTTAAAAGAAAAACTCACTTTTTTCCTTATTCAAGCCCTAGATTTACAGATAAATTTAACTTATTTTGCTGCATAATGTTTTATTTTATTTTTACAAATCTCATGTTTTTCCCAAAGTAGTTCATTAAAAGCCATCCTATTAAAAAAGAAAGAAATAAATCAGCATGTTTAGATGAATCACTCCCCCTTCTCTCTGTCTTACTTTGTCCACCGTCCCAGGTCTGAGCCGCTCCAGCAGCTTGCACAGCACGGCTCCATCCTGCAGAGACGCCTGGAGGAAAGCCTCAGGATCCGATACGCTTTTCTTAGGAGACTCCAGGACCCCCAGAGTAATAAGCCACGTTACCGTCTGCTCGGTCGAAGTCATGTTATTTTTTTCCTTTTCTTATCAGATTGTCCTGAACCAGCAGCCCTGATGATCCAACAGAGGCTCAGTCCTCTCAGCCTCTTTCAAACATCAGGATGGAATAAAACCTCAGCTTGTATCCAGAAGGACAGAGATGGAAGTAAGAAATAAGATCCTTTCTGCTTCCCCCTCCTCTCTCTTCCTCTCCCTCCCAGAGGATGTTGGTATCACCTTGCCTTGTGGACAGCTGTAAAAGCCAGCAGACTCACAATCAAGCCAGAAGCTGAAACCAAGCCTCTCCTTTGGCAGTTTACAAAATAAAAGCCTCCAAGCTGCGATGTGAAACGCTGTACTGACTGATTCATATTTTCTTTTATAACAGGAGGAAAAGAAAGATAATTTTTATGTTGATTGATCCAAGGAATAAAAAAAAAAAATTAAAGCATATGTCCTGCATACCTCTTAAAGCTCCAGTCAGTCCACCTGAGAATATCCACTGAATTACTGGTTATATGTTGGAAAGACCCAACATTTTGTCAACAAAAAAGTTGGTCAAGCATTGCTGTATACTTAAAGAAAATCGATTGTGCAAAAAAATAGCTGTCAGAAAATAATGCTAATAAAATATTGGTATGTCTTGTATAGGCATTTGCATATCTTTAAATAAAAATATGGTATCCTTTAAAAGTAATCAAATTTTCTGAAAAAACAAACAAAACTGAATACTTGTTTTTTTTTTTTTTAAAGATGCAGGAAATTATTAAAAGTTTATTTCAAATAAACACTTGAAATAAATCACCCCTTATCTCACAAATTAGTTTAAAATATGACTTTTATTTTTCTGAGTGATTGATTTAGATGCATATAACCAATAAAATACAGATCCTTTCTTGTTTTATTTCGACATACAACTTACAACTCGCAAGGGTGTAATTTGCAGGAGGGCAAGGAGTTTATGAGCTCCTCCAAACTCTGACCCAGTCATTATAAGCCCCCCATTATTCAGTTATAAACAAATCTTGCATGAATGATTGGTTTTATTTTTATTATCAATATACCCAAAATCTTGATAACACCCCACTAGTTTAGCAAGAATTCACCATTAGCTGTATTTTTGACACAATTACTAGTTCCAATAGTTGCAGTTTGAAAACATGAATGAAGGCTTAAAAACCAAGCAGGATATATATATATATATATATATATATATATATATATATATATATATATATATATATATATATATATGGTTGTTTTTCTAAATAGCCCCAAAGCTCATGGAAGAGGATGCTTTACAGAATATGTCTCTAAAAAGATCAAATAAGCCTAAGTTTCTAATTTGATCAATTTATCACTTTCTTCTACTGTAATCACTGGCTGCTTGACCAAACTTGGATATAAGTCAAACTAAAAAGAAAACAAAACAATGGATATTTGCAAAACGCAGCACTTGACTTTGTGTTCTTCATAAATGGCTAAATGCATGCATAACTACCTGATTGGTGGACCCAAAGGTCGCCCACTGAACACCACAGATGATTCAGTCAAACATAAGGATTTAATAAATGATCCATCTGAGGTTGGAAAACTCCAACTTCACCTGTAAATGTAGTATGCAGTGCAACATTTTTTAATCTGAGTCATTTTTTCTTAAAAGAAGTGCATTTTTTTTTTCTTGAATTGAGGAGGTAAATGAGACATTGGAACAAGACAATTTACATTTGAATTAATAAGAAAACAAAAAAACCCAACTGCATTGTTTTATTTCAAGTTCACATTATCTAATTATGTTTTTTTAAGAGAATAAAATCTCACTCCATTGGCAAATCATTTTTACATATTAAATTAAGAATACATGCACTTAATTTAAGACATTGTTTCTTATTTCTATATCGTTTGTGCAGTATGATACTAGGGTCTTTTTTAAAAAAAAAAAATTAAAAATAGCTTTGTGTTCTTTCCCTTTTTAACAGATTTTAGCAACCTAACTTAGGAATAAAAAATATGACAATATGTTATTTAAAAAAAAAATGAAATCTTGTATATTCAAAAACTGTTTTTTTTTTGTAGCTACTTTTATTTTGAAATTAACTCCACCCTGTTTCCGCTCTGCTCTGTAATTATGACGTTTGGCAGCGCAGACAAGGAGACAGAAATGTGTATGCTCTGATGGATTATGTTCTACAATTGTTCCATGAAATTACTTTTGTAGCATTTATAATGTTAACACCAAAGTTATAAATAAACAGCAAGAAAAATTAAGCAAAAGAGAAATTGCTTTGGAGCTCAAACCAGCAAAAATATTAGTGGGCATCAAATGTTTTAATAATGACTAACAGGAATTACAAAATGATGGGATGTGAGGAAGTAATGTATCAGCTGGGGCATTGAAAGCGACTCTACTGCCCTCTAGAGGACATTTTAGAAGTTTCCAAGGCCTAAATCTGATTTCATTTTTCACAGCGATCATGGTAGGTAGAACTCCAACTCAGTCTGAAGTCTGTAGTAGCCCCAGACCATTTTACTCTAGGATTTCACAGTGTATGGCTCCACCAATCTTCTCATCGACTTTGACAAATAAAAGCAATGCCCCCATCATGATGCTCCCACCGTACAGTGTCACGGTGTGCCCATAATTATGCTTAGTGTTGCTTGCCTGACACAGTGTTTTGCAGAGAGATAAATAAATAAAAAAAATACTTGATAGTTTGCTAAAAATATATATCTTTTTTTAAAAGTAACAATAAACAGAATTTTTATTCTGTGATGACTTTAACAGCATAACTGCACCACCAACCCCCAAGAATTGAGAGTTCAAAGTGCTGAACTAGATGTCAGGAACATTCAGAAAGTGTTAAAACGCCCAACTTTGTTTTATGGTGAGATATCCTGCGTGAAGAAATATTTCAATTCTATTCATTTTATTTATATAGCGCAAATTCACAACAGAGGTCAGCTCAAGGCACTTTACAATTCAACCAGATCATACAGTCAAATTGATTAAAAGTCTTCTATCTAAGGAAAACTTGTTGATTGCATCGACTCATTGACTCCAAAGCAATACCTCACACTAAGCATGCTTGTAGCGACAGTGGAGAGGAAAAACTCCCTTTTAACAGGAAGAAACCTCCAGCAGAACCAGGCTCAGTGTGAACGGCCATCTTGAGGTCGACTGGGATTCAAGGAGACAGAAGTAGAGATACAAAAAGCAGCTGTGAAGGACGGCCCCGTCCAGGAAACACACAGCCAGGCCGACGAGCTCCGAGCTTCCATGTCAGAGGATGAAGAGAGCACATTCAGCCAGTCACGGTCAGAGAGAAGACTACACTGAAAAACAGGCCGATCTCCAGCATCTATAAACAATAGATGCTTACAAACATGATACAGAGTCTTGATTAGAGTATTAGCAGTTCAGCAGTCTGATGGCAGCAGGGAAAAAGCTGTGCAGAACCTGCTGTACCTGCATCAAATGCTGCGAAGCCTTTTCCCAGAGGGCAGCAGGGAGAACAGTTCATGGTGAGGGGTCGCTGATAATGTTACAGGATCGGACACGCAGCGCTGGGATGACATTGCTTTAATAGAGGGCAGAGGAGCCCCAATGATCCTCTTTGCTGTTCTCACTACTCTTCTCACCTTCTTCCAGTCTGAGGTGCTGCAGCCTCCACACAGCACAGTGAGACAGCTGGTCAGAACGCTCTCTATGGTGCTTCTGTAGAAGGTGGTGAGGATGGGTGGGTATATGTGGGCTCTCCTCCTTCGCAGGAAGTACAAACACTTCTGTTCCCTTTTGACCAATAAGGTGGTGTTTACAGTTAGGGTGAACGCCACCTTAAAGCCTTGCTTTGAATTTCAGAGTACAGGGGATCTGAATACAGCTTGCAAAAATTGTTTCCATTTCACATTTGCACACCATCACAAGAAAACAAATGTAAAAAAAGAAAAAGCTATTTAAAAAAATGATAGCTAAAAGCAAATGAGAACTCATTTTTAGATCAAATGTACAACTTTTCCATAGGAAAAAAAAACTGTTCTGGATGGTTTATAATTGCCATTTACAAAATTAAACCAAAACATACACTTTTTTACATATTTGAAACCAATCCCACAGGAAGGTGTTAGATATTTCATATAAAACTAATAAAGATTTTATTTACTCGACTCCAATCTTGATATCAATAACTAGTGTGTTCTAAAATGTCTTAAACAATCAGAAAAGAAATCTCTAAAAAAGCACAAAAAAAAATAAAAATAAAAAACAGTTTAAATACCATAAAAGCTAATGAATGTTTACAATTTGATGAACTCGAAGGAATGATTCAAAACAACAGAAATGGCAGAGAAAGTAACACAGAAATGTAATTGGAAGCACAGCTGGCCCATTTAAAGCTTAAGGTGGAGGAAAATGTCTACGCCCCCTGGTGGAAGAAAGAGGAAACTGTCAATGGCTGCTGCCATCAGGTCTCTGAGGAGGCAGGCAGAAAAAAAAACAGATTAAAGGCAAAAGGTAGTGAAAAGCTCAAGACAGGTTAACTGCAGTCTGCAAAAAAAAAAAAAAAAAAGTAGAAATACACCAAAGAAGTAGGATTTCAATAATGAAACAAAACGGGAATGTTGTCGTTAGATATTTGAATAAAAATAAATGTAAATGTCCTGTACTTATATGGCACTTTTTCAAGTCAGAAGACCTAAAAAAAAAATCTGATGAAATCTCTAGGGGAGGTTGTAGCAGGTAAACGGAAATACTTGGAGGCCTTTGCTCATTAGAAGTAGGACCAAGATTATTTAGGAACCGTGTCTGAAGAATCACTGCAGCAGGTTATCACAGCAACTAAAGATGCTTGTCATGAAGAAAGGTAGGAATTACAGGTTGGGTTTTGCATCTAATGTAGAGAAACGACATGCTCTATGCATTTAGTTAAGGCAAAATAACCATTCGTTGATGATTAATATATTGCAATCAGCTTTTACTTTGTTCCACTCAAATCTAATTTTGTGTGTCTGAAGCAGCCCACTCAATCATACACTCAGACAGCCACTGCCCCCTCCTCACCAAAGGTGAATAGAAACTATGGAGGTGGAACCTGGTGTTTTATCCAAACAACAAACATTCATTTATTTTCAAAACCAAGTGCAGGTCATAATTTCCCTGCCCTGCAAACAGTTGATTATGTTAAATAAAACCGGGTTTCTTGCAGTTATTTGTAATGAGGTGAGATAATAACAGCAAGTTACCTATTTTCAAAACTTTTACAAGAGGAAGTGAAAGTTCTGTGGGCAGAGCTGTTGTAGGTATGATATTTAACTGTGACACTGCACGAGAAAACAGGCGTTGACACAGTGGTTTCATCAGTCATGTCAGTTTTTTCTGTAGCTGCTCCTCAACTTCCTTATTTAGTCCCTCGGTACGTTTCCTCTTTCAACAACTGATAATATTCCTCGTTAGAGCTTTACTTTTTGATGATTCTCTGTCTTGGAGCTGAAAAATACGTCTCAGATCTACATTTGTTCAGGGGATGTTAGAGTCTGTGTCGTTGGGTCTACGTTTGGTCCGGTTTTAGAGCTCCAGAAGAGGATCTTTGAGGCGTGGGAGGTGAGGAAGGCGATTGAGAGCAAGAGGAACGCAGCAGAGACTATATAACCTGCTGACATGTTTTTTGAAATCTTCTGTGCCTTCAGATCTAATGCTGCCGTTCAGGCTTTCTGTATGAAAGAGAGGGAGGCCTCAGATTGAAAAGTTTACAGTTATGTGCGTCTCTCTGCGGTAGTCTACGTGTTCTGTGTGTCCGGTTCTCTGAGCACCATGTCAGATGACATCAAGACTTTGACGTGGAGGAGCATGTCCCCCATCGGCCGGTCGGATTCCTCAGATATGTCCCCCACCACTCCTGTCGGCAGAGAAAGCATCTTCACAGTGAAAATCATCAAAGTCTGCTTCCTCAGCAACAGCTCCAACCTAGGGAAGAACTTCAAACTGGTCCGCTGTGAGGATGGGTGGACTATCAAGGTATGCTCCTCTTTGACTGCTTATATTAACCTCTTATAACTACTGCAAATGAGATGGAGGAAATTGCTTAATTCAGCTGGTTAGCTAAGTCTATTTTAATCAACAACAACATTCCAAGATGTTTTTTGCATATTTCTGTTTATATAAACCTGCTTTGGACTTGACCTTTTGACGTTTTCAGCTCTCATTCAATTCAGCTTGCATATTAGGCCCAACTCTTAACGAACCAAAATTACACTTAACCCTCCAAGAGAAGTAGAAACAATTTACATTTAGAAATGTACAATAAAATCATTGCTTTTATATGAAAAGGGACATTTATGTAGTTACATGCAATTCAGTTTGAACCATATTCCGTTAAAGATTGGTTACTATGCCAAAGATAAACAGAATTCAGAACTTCACAGCAATTCCTTTTGGTAAGAAAGCACAAGGCGAAAGTGGAAAGGAATGACTCTCTTTTAAGAGGATGGAGAAACTCGCTGTTTTTAACAAAATAATTAACGTAATGTTCAGAAACTTAAGTTTCCCATGAAAATGTTTTGATAGAAAGATGTCTTCAATATGAATATCAACATTTGTCAGCCAACTTTAGGCAACCTGAATGTCTATATGATTTCACATGCTTCGCATGTTACTTACACTGGAAAAACGAGATAGCTTGCCAATGGAATGGGTATTTTTACTCTTAAGATAAGATAATTAGATAATATCCAACTGAAATAAGAAAATGCAATTGTGCTTTCTCATTTTAAGTGTAAATTGTCTTGTTCAATTGGTAAAATGTCACTTTTACCTCCCCGATCCGAGAACACATGCTCTTATTTTAAGAAAAAAATGGCTTATCTAGATTTTGATTTTTTCCGGTGTAGAAATGTGCTTCAGATTGCTTGGAAAGTGAGAAACCAAACCTCAGATCAGAAGAGGCATTTGCCTCCAACAGTCAAGATGATATACTGTAGAAGCACAGAACATGAACGCATGTGGGTCCATAAAGTAAACGCCTGGTCTGATTTAAAGTAAAATCCCTCCCCGCTCTGCTCCTGGAGTTCTGGCCTATATGCCGGATGTCCAGCCTAAAGGCGTTTAGGTCCTCCTCTGCCTTATCATATCTTTACATCTAAATGCAGAAATATTACCTGTCAAATTATATTCCTCTTTTAAAAATATCTTAAAAATATCTGTTCTAACTTTTAATCATCAACCCCTGTTTTATATAATTTATGTTTAGTTTAGTTTTGCCCTTCAGCTAATTAGAATGGCTTTATCTAATTATATTAAATGAGTTAAAAAAGTCTAAATCCAATAATCAGGTAGACGGATCAAACTAAAGTCTGAGGAAATTAGACAGCAGGTAAAAAATCAGGGCATCATTTAATTTCTGCTTATATTATACCTCATTTGATGACTAAATTAAATGACTAAATGTTAATGATCTTTGATAAAATGTTAGCAAAAACTCAGAAGAGCACATTTCAAGTTTTAGGAGCAATTCATTGCCTACCTGATCACTTTTGGATTGATGTTCATAGCTTTGCCTGACTGAGAATCCATCAGACCTGCTTAATCTGGAGGGTTTTTTTCACTCAGAATGGCAGATCAGCTTGTGTTAGTCAAACAGAATGCAGTACGGAAGCATATTGCATTCACCAAAGAAAAAAAAAATCAGCAGCTTAACTCATAATTACGAGATTAGTATTTCATAATTGTGAGATCTTGTCTCATAATTACGAGATAAGATCTTTTTTTTTTCTTTCAAATTTCTTTTTTTGTGAATGTTATGTAACATGCTTCCTTTTGTATTTATTTATGGATTTTTTTAATGGCAGTGTTTTTATGTGTGAATGCAATGTGAGACATAGTTTGGAATATGTAGCAGCCAGAGTCTGTACCCATATCAAATTTTCTTTGGGATAATACAGTTCATCTTATCTTATCTTATAATTACGAGATACTGATCTTGTAATTATGAGAAAAGATCTCATAATTCTGAAATAAGATCTCAGAATTACGGGATCTTATCTATTTGGTCATAATTACTTGAGCAGGTAATGTAGCATCTCTCAGAAAACTACTCTTCATGATTACTTAAGAATATGTGCATCTGTTCCACTGAACAGTTCTCTGTTCCAAGGTCTGAACTGATACACGTTTGAGTTCCGCTCCTGTTTTCCACTTCATCAATAAAGTACCCAGCTATAACCCTGGGATTACTTCTTGTGGAGTAAGCCTGCAGCCATATGACTAGATGCGAAAATCCATTAACAGCTCTATTAATACAGATCCTGCATGGTTTTAATTTGTGGTATGAATCAACATACCACATGAAGTTGGGAGCCGGGCTTCTGTAGAGACGTCGCTTTAAACAATGCTAAAGCCTCAGCTGTACTCCGTGAGGATCTAGCATTTTTGAGCAGGTACCGAACAGTTCTTTGGGACACCACCAAGCCAGCGGGAATGCATTTCAGATTCATTAATTTATAGCCATAAAGCATCCCGTGCTGGTTTAAATGCTCCTGCAGGAACAGTGCAACTTCCAGAAAGTCAGAGGGGGCTTTTTCGTCGAACAAATTCTAAGGACTTACTGTAAGCAGTGGCGGCTGGTAGCTTTTTCTCTACGGGGGGTATAAATTCAAAATAGGGCAAAAAAAAATAAATAAATAAAAATAGGGCAATGCACAATGCTGACAAACTAAAACTAATTCCATCCATATTGAGGAAACTCAGTATTTCCCAGTGTTGCATACCTAAAAGGAAAGAAAAGCATATAAAATCCGACAACCCGCTCATTGTTCATGTTTCATGTAGCGTAGCTCAGCAATGACCATCCTTCCTGGTATCCTAAATAAGACATGTTAGTTCAATGTTATGAGATGTTATTTCACAATTATGAGATAAGATCTCATGATTAGATTAAATCAGTATCTCGTAATTATGAGATAAGCTGTCAGATTTTTCGTCTTTGGTGAATACATTAAGCTTCTGTAGTGCAGAGAGGTGGCTGAAAAAGAATTCTGTTAAGTTATCTTCATGCATCAGGTGGGATTATGGGCCACATGGTGCTGCTGTTTGTAGCCTTGCAGCTGTAACCTCTGCATGCATGGGTTCTCATTAGGTACTCCGACTTCCTCCCACAGTCCAAAAACATGACTCTTAGGTTATTTGGCCTATCTAGATTGTTCTTCGGTGTGAAAGTGCATGGTTGTGTTTCTGAGTTGCCTTGCAACAGACTGGCGACCTGTCCAGGGTGTACCATGCGTCTCGCCCATAAACTGCTAGAGTGAGGCACTGGCCCCACTGTGACCCTGACAGAATAAGCTGGGAGGGATGGGATGGGATGCACGGATATCAGGCAGGTTGAATCTGTTCCCATTTTTAAAAACCTCTTTGCAGTGTATAGCACTGCTGCCTTGCAGCAAGAAGGGTCCCGGTTCAATTCCCCCCCTCCGTAGTCTTTCTGCAAGCCTATGCAAGTGTGGGTTCTCTCTGGCTTCCTCCCACAGTCCAAAACCATGACTGTTAGGTTAATTGGCTTCTCTATATTCTCCCGTGTGAGCGTGAATGGTTGTTTATCCTGTTTGTCTCTGTGTTGCCCTGCGATTGACTGACAGAGTCAATCGGAGATAGGGACCAGCACCCCTGGTGCAGCAGGGATAAGTCTGACTAAAAATGGATGGATTGATAAAACATGGGTCATAACCCAGGTTGAGATGTTTGCTTTTTGTGGTTTCATAGAGTTGCTTTTACTTTTATTTTACTTTTCGTTTTAGCTCCGACTGCTCTAACCATCATATTTTGAACACCTTTTTTTTTTTTTTTTTCTGTTTTTACATAAAGCGCGTTGTCAAACTGAGCCGTATCCTAAAGCGTGGTCAAAATAAAACAAAGTCAAAGAGGTTGTCACCAGTGATAATCCTTTACTATGTTACAAAATTAGAAATAGTTAAGTTGATATAAGCAAGAGGTGAAAGAGAGGTGTGGCATTATGGAGGTGCTAAGGGTTTGTTAAATAAACCATTAAAATATTTCAGCTAAGTTGTCACAAAGACATATCAGTTATCCAGCTGTTATTCCATTAATCATCCCCAGAAAGTAGTATTTTTAGAGCTGTAGTTATGTTTCACAATTAGCGTCATAAAATAAATATGTTACATTACCTCCTGATGTATGTATTTGCTGAGGTCTTAATACGTTTTTATATATAATACTAATAAATGCATAAATGAAATAAGCAGATGTATCATTTATTTGTTTAGTATAATACACAATTCAAACATGAAATACACAATTAAATGTTCAAATGCATCATTAAAAAAATTACATATTCCATTCATTAAATAAAAAATACATTTGACTGAAGAAATTAAATGTAATTTAAAAGTATTTAATATGTATGCAAGTCATTTAATGTATTTTAGGGGGTCTCCAGTTTGTTACATAGATATTTTAGGGGTTAAAGGCTGCATTAAAAAAAAAAGTTAGAACTGTAAATTTAGTAGTTTTTACTATTTTTAAGCTGCACTTTTAAAAAGATTTTGTCCAGTGAGCTGTTTCCAAACAAAATTTCTTTTTGTTTTACAATTGTGTAAACAAAATGACAAATAAAATCTGCCTAAAATCTATTATTGTACTAAAGCATTGGCACATCATTATGTAAAAGTTATTTTTGGAATGTTACCTCTTTGTTTATCCTCTACCATGTGACCAAGATAGCCAGGCCACAGAAATTGCTTGCAGGGCTTGATTTCCTTCAGCAATTTATTAGTGCAATGAGAATTCTTTTTAATTTTTTACATGCTGCCCAATCAAATGGGAACTATACAGTAGGATCTGAAACAATGTCAGTTCCCCTGGGAGATTTTAAATTTATTCAGCAAAAGTAGTGAAAGCCCACATTTGTTTTTACGGTCATATTTGTATAATGCGTCATTTGGTTTATTTTACTTTTTTTTTTTTTTTTAAACGAAAACTCATTAAGAAAATGAGGTTAGCTATATGATTGGATGCCCTCTGGACTCAGTGCAGGCGGTGGGAAACAAAAGGATCCTAACTACATTAACATCTGTGTTGGATAATGTCTCCCACCTTATGCGTGAAGTTTTTGAAGAACTGAAGAGCTCCTTCAGTGACAGAATGCTGCTCCCTTATTGCACCAGGGAGCGTTATCACAGATCCTTCCTCCCAGCAGCTGTAAGAATTTATAACCACCACTGTTCACAATAACCTCAATGAGTTGTTACAGTCATGCTGATTTTGCAAAGTTTCTACCTTTGTCAGTTAAATTAACATGCTGCTGTCATTTTGAACATCTCTGATGTTTCTGCTATTTTTTTTAAATATCCATTACTGTAAAAATGTCCATAGCTTTATAATGGTTGTTTATTCTCCAGGTGCACATTTTTTCATATTTTCAAAACACTTTACAGTATTGTATTTTATGTTATTCTCATACACTAAAGGTCAATATTTGTGTGACCATTTTTCTATAATCTTTTTGATGCTGTAACACCAGCATTTCCCCATTGTGGGCCAATAAAGGGATTTTCTATTCTATTCTATTCTATTCTAAAATAAAAGCTTAAAATATACCATACCATACCATACCAACTTTATTTATAAAGCACTTTAAAACAACCACAGTTAATACAAAGTGCTGTACAGTTTAAGAACACAACATAATAAAAATAATTTAAAAACAGTTTAAAAACAAAAACATACAATTTAAAACTAGATCCCACTGGTGTTGAAAGCCAAGTAAAATAGATGGGTTTTAAGACGAGCTTTAAAAATGGGCAAAGAAGGGGCCTCTCTGACCTGCAAAGGTAAGTCATTCCATAATTTGGGGCCCATAACAGAGAAAGCCCTGTCCCCTCTGAGCTTCCTTTTTGTTCTCGGTTCCTCCAAGAGCAGCTAAAAATATGCATATAAGTTTATTAAAACCTGCTGTTATTATTAGACAGAAACTATTTTGAAATACACTTTTTTCTGCTCCGCTCTTTCTCAATACAAAGACTTGTTGCTGCAGTGTAAGCACTATAAGAGCCTCGACTTAAGAGCAAATTGTTATAAACTTGACTCCTATGATCCTCAGAAATGGAAATCCTTTCACTAAATAGTTCAGATATAAATAAATGCACTCGCGGAGAGTACATGTGGCCCCTGTAGTACCTTTGTGAGCCCGCTGTAGGGGCTAGCAGGAGAGTTACGGTCACAACTGACATGAATTCATCACTTAAGAGAAACAGAAGCTGTTGCACTCAATGGAAAATGCATCCTGGCGATCTCAGCCTACACGTGTAAAAAGCTGCTTTCTAGAGCACTTGGCATATCATCTTCCTCTTGTGCTTCTGTTCAAAGCAAAATGATAGTATCTTTGTCTGCAGCCACAATGCTTGCAGCTAAGGTGCATTGATTAAAGGTGAAAACCTGTCAGCACTGTCTGACCAGGGGAGGGCTTTGTTTTTCCTGTACCTAATTAAGTATAATGGTGCCCACAAGACTGACTTTACTATTTTCTGGGCCTTCTATTTATGCCTCATACATTTTGAATCCATCAGCTCTAAGTATTGTGTCGATAGCACTATTGGATTCCCTGGCTTTGGTAAATTGGGTTTAATCTGTCAAATCGAAGCTCTGGCTTATAGAAAAAAAAGACTTTAGCAATAGGAGACATGCAGTCCTTTGCAGTACTAATAACCACTTCTGCTCTAGAATGTCATCCATACGGTGCTGTCCAGCGGCTGCGTGGGTCCAGACATAAAGAACAGCCTCTGTTACGGCCTTCTTCTCAAACACCTCAAGTCCTCAGAGATGCACTGGCTGCATCCAGATCTGACTGTGACCGAGCTCACCCAGCGCTATGAGCAGCAGCATGTGGAGGCTGAGTGGAGGTCAGTATCTTCTCTACTTGTTCTTTTTTGTATCGTTTGGTCTGACTCAGGAGGTACAGAAATGACAAATAATTTAAATTTCTTATAGATATTTTTAAAATCTGATTCACCTCTCCACCAGATCTTAAAAATGTCAGCTACCATGTTTCATAGTACTATTGAGAAAAAAATAAACACACTTAATCCAGGTTTCCAACAATATTTGTCTTCATATATATATATTTTTTAGCGATTATAGATATACAGTTCCAAAACATTTATCCAGTTCGGGATTCTATTCAGTAACTCATAACCAGTGATGTAAAGACCTTTTTTATTTCTTCTCATAAAACTTGGTTGGCTTGAAATATATAATGCTGGGAATAATCTGCTATTGATTATTATGGACTGAAAAAAGCTCAGTCCAGCACAAGCATTACATGCATTTTACAAAAAAACAAAACAAAAATAAGTAACTCACAGGCTTTGTATGAATTATAAACGGAGTCCAGTGTAAAAATCTTGAGTCTGGTTTTAAATAGAAGCTATAGTTTTAAATCTAGAACTTAAAAATTGTTTTCATTTTTACTGTAGAATCCATGTGTTAAATCAAATCCTGCACCGTAGGTGCACAAAGGAGTTCTATCAAAATCCTTCCTCCCAGCTGTTGTTCGACTTTATAATCTTTGCTGCTCCCAATAGGTCCAAATGAGAGTAGTTCTATCTGCTTAAAAAGCTTCTTTTCATGAATTGCTTTTTTTCTGCTAATTTTTTTTCATCCATGCTGTCAATCAAAAAGTTTTTACCTTCTTGTTTTTTTTTTTTTGTCTTCTAATATTTTTCAGTTTGTTGTTCGTGTGCAGAATTAAACAACTACATATTTTTTTCTTTATGAAGATGATGAATTTCACTTTTTTCTATTTTCATTTTTTTTCCCGTCCTATTATATCTGCGTGCTTTGATTGCATATTTTCTTTTCTATTCACTGAGGGACAACAAAGGATATTTCTTTTCTTTTCCATCAGGGAATAAAGTAAATTAGAAGTTGTGAAAAAAAGAGCCTTAATGATTTAAGATAAAGAAATACCCAAAAAAAGTCTAGAGATTCAAACTTTCTCCATACTACCATTTCAGTTCCTTTACTTGACAAATAATCACATTTCATACTCCATATGAAACCTAGTTGAACTGAAATCTAATTTCTCGTTTTTAAACACAAACTTGATTCTGATAAATGTGGATCTGTCTTTCCTGTTAGGATTAAGAACCATCTGAAAGATATTCTCTTTCCATTACGCTAATGGAGATGCTTGTCTCTACAGATATGACCTGAGGATCAGATACATCCCATCAAACTACATGGAGACCTTTAAGGAAGATAGAACAACCATGCTCTACTTTTACCAGCAGGTCAATGACCCAACAGAGAGTTTATCTTTAATTTAATACCCTTTCTTTCCTCTTTTATGAACTTTAAGATTACTATTCATATAAGCGAAATTTGTCAACGTGAATTCTTCTAATATTTTGGTCAATTTCATAAGAGGGGTGTTCATTTACTAATCAACAGGTACGAAGTGATTATATGCATCATTATGCCTCCAAAGTCAGCGATGGGATGGCCTTACAGCTCGGCTGTCTGGAAATCAGGTGATCATCTTTGCTCAAAGCATAAGTCAACAATAAGTAATGTTGATAGTGACAGTCGGATATTGGTGTAATTGCTGCAGGAGGTTCTACAAAGACATGAATCCTAATGGACTGGAGAAAAAGTCCAACTTTGAACTGTTGGAGTAAGTCAAAACTTTATGGTCTTTTGAAATGAGGTGCTATGTTCAAACAGAGAAAGGGGGATTCATTAGTCTGCTAATCCAAGCATAAAACTCTACAAAAGCAGTTTAATATAGAAATAAACTTTGTCAATGTAATAATACTGATTTTCACCCATTCCACTCCTTAGAAAAGAAGTAGGGCTGGACTTGTTCTTTCCCAGAGAGCTCATAGAGAGTATGAAGGTACATAGAGTTACAGAACATATATCCATTACTTTTTGAGAACTAAATAAATTTTAAGTGATGAAAGATGTCCTCTGTGTGGTTGCATGTCAGCCCAAGCAGTTACGCAGGATGATCCAGCAGACGTTTCAGAGCTACTCGACGTTTCAGCAGGACCAGTGCATGGAGAAGTTCTTCACCATGTTGTGTCAGTGCTACAGCATCACCGAGGAGAGCTACGGCTGCCAGCTGGTGGTGAGCCCTTCTCATGACTGAGCTTTTTTAAAATAATCCATCTGATAAATTTAAATCCAAAGATCTGAAAAATAGTTGAGGTAGCCTGATTTATAGAACAAGATTTTCGGGGGAGTGGTGTCTTTGTGGTTGGGGCATTGCGCTTGGCTACCGGAGGTTCTGAGTTCAAGCCCCGCTCCAACAGACTGCCACTCTGGGTCCCTGAGCAAGACCCTTGACCCCACACTGCTCCCTGGATGCCGCACAATGGCAGCCCACTGCTTCCCAAGGGGATGGGTTAAATGCAGAGAGTTCATTTCGTTGCTTTGTACTTGTGACAGTGTAATGGCAATAAAGTTGAACTCTATGCTAGAGTCTTAAATCTAAGAGTCTGGAAAAGGTTACGCTGTCATTTACAAAATTTTGGGACATGTCCGAATCACAGTGCTAAAACTTATCCCAAGTGTCCCAGTTCTACCAAAATCAACCCAAGAGGGTGCATCATCAAACAGTAAAACCTTTTTTTTTTTTCCCCCAATCTTCCATAAACCACCCTTGATGCACATATTGCAGTGTTAACTATTTTAGAAAGTAACACTTTGCCCAACCCAAACTGCACCCACCACTTTGTCCTTTTTCACAACTTCCTGTCAGATCTGAGTTCAAGCACTGCAGGCATCACTTGCCAAAGTTAAGGCTGCTTTTCATTATACAACAATACGAAAGAGGGAGCGGCCTCCATGAGTGAAAACCACGAAAAAGGAACAAAAAGACCTTAAAGCCCTACATTACATTTCCCCCCCCCAAAAAAAAGAAAAAAAGGGTTTAAAAAAGAATCAGAATCAGAAATACTTTAATAATCCCAGAGGGAAATTACTTTTGTCACACGCTCCAGTTACAGTTTTGTGTATACAGTAGATACACACATCCAACTACACAAGATAATAAAGATAAAAATAAAGATAAAAAAATAAAAATAAAAAATAAAAAGTAACATCTTTCAACAAATGTGGGCCTTTACATAATGTGCACCTCTAATTACATTAGCTATAAAATTGAGTCAGCATTAAATAAAAAAAAAAGTGATACTTCTAAGAGACTTACATGATGGAGGTGTTGTACACTGGGTCTGCTTTGGTGCTTTAGGACCAGGATGAATTGGGGATAACTGATTGACTGTAAAGTTGCCCTTTATTCTAGTGACTCTAAAAGGTCAAATAGTTTTACACTATTTGGCTCACCAATTTAAAAAAACTTGTTAATTAGTTCTTGAATTCATTGCATTTCCACATCCTATTATGTTGGATTTTGACATTTTTTGCCCCTTGTAAACAAATCACTTTTTCTATTTACAAAGGTTATCTTAGTTGAATTTTGTATTGATTTATTGATCTTAATTTCTGTAAAAGTAGAAAAGTGTTTTTTATAATGCAAACCTTTTTATGTTATCCCTGTAGCATGGCTGGAATCTAGCCATAGACTTGGTCATAGGGGCAGATGGGATCAGTCAACAAAGTGATAACGCTAAAGTAAGTACATATCTTATGTATTTTCATCTATTGTATTGGGTGCAGGTTATTTTGCCTTCATTTTTTATAGTTTGATTTTTCACCCAAGCTTTTCTGAAGTACACAGCTTAGCAAAATGGAAGTAGGTTGAGTTGAAATGGCAACGAATTGGGTGGGATACGAGTTAGCAAAGTTAACTAATTTTGCTCTTCATCTCTTCGCTGCATCAACTTCACTAAACACAAGTGTTTGTTTTGTATTTTTTCTGTCTCACAGCCCGTCTGTCTGGCCAAGTTCTCTGATGTCCGCAGCATCTCCTGCAGTCTCGAAAGTGATGGCCGCGCCCTTCTAACCGTGCACATAGAGGGCTCCAAGCAGGTAGAACTTTCCCTGCCTACTCTCAAGTTACCAAAATAAAGTAGCTTGAGGAAGTTAGATGGTTTTATCACCTAAAACCCACAGATTGGGCTTGCAAACCTACCAAGGTAGTTTTTTTCTCGCAAATGTTTGGCTTTGAATCAAAGGTGTGAAACCCATTTGTTTGCAACCATTTCCAGTCAGTTAGTTGAACAAAAACACACTGGGACTTAAAGAGACAAGAGGATATTTTTAGAATTGGCAGATGTAGGCATTAACTGATCTGGAAGTGTAGGTTAAACCTGTATTCATCAATAACAATTGGGAGATTAGTTGAAAATATTAAGCAAGTAAGTTAAAGATAGGCTTTCTGTGTATGCACCTTGATACTCTATCTCTCCGGTTCTTTTTCCTGAAAAGAGATCACTTGAGACTAACTCTTTAAATAAAATTTCACAACTTATATGTATTAAATAACCAGGAGACACGACAACAGATTCTGATAGAAACTGTAATCTCACTCAGATCAGATACATTTCTTAGAATATACAGAAGGCAGCTGCTCACCTACGGGCTCACCTCTCAGGAAGAAGCCCCAATTAACATTTAAAAAGGAATTTTATACATCTCCAGTCTGCCATATCATCTTATTTTACATCATTAGCAGATGATTAGACATCCATAGCTCCAGCATTATCAAAGTAGGACACTGCTCTCATTCCATTTCCAAATCTTCGCCACATACAGAATAAAGACGAACAAATAAAATCTACTTATTTAAGTTTAATCTCGAATTACTGGAGCTTTGAAGGATATCTACAGCCTTACTTAATGTGTCAGTTCTGGAGTGCCAAGATTAAGATTAATTCATCCTGTCACTCATTAAAACTCGATATCTTGTACAGCTTCTTCAACAATTGACCAACTTCTCTAGTCGTACCAAGAAATGTTTGCCGTTCTAGGAACTGTAGTCAATTTCTTCCTTTTTCTTTGTAAAGTAACCTTTGTCTGAGGGCATGGGGGTTAAAAAACAAAAAATTAACAAGTTAATGAAAGACTGATTATCTTGTTTTATCTTCTAGCCGCTCGCGGTGAACACTTCGTCTTTGTTTGTGGCAGAGAACATGGCCGATTTGATCGACGGCTACTGTCGATTGGAGGGAAAAGCCGAGAGTTTATACATAATTAGATCAAACAAAGGTACGATCACCTGAGCAATCGGTGGAAGTAGCTCCTGAAAAGTTAGAAATGTCAGGTTCATTTATATATAAAGCCATTAAAAGTATTAATTAAAGTGTGTTTGTTTTTTTACAGGAAGAGACACAAGGCTAAAACTTCCTGACATACCTCAACGGTGACTAAAATGACTCATCTTTTCTGAATGTTCAATATGACGCTAATTTTTTTTTTTTTTTTTCAAATCTGCTAAAAGTATAAACTGTGTAGGTGTTGTTTGCTTTTCTTTTCTTTCCTCCTTTTTGGTCTCCACTTTAATCATTTTTTTCCTGTCCACTACCTGACTTACACTGCAAAAACGATCTAGAAATAAGCAATAATGACTTCAATTAAGTGTACTTGCCCTTAATTTGAGCTGGTAAATACAATTATTTGCCAATGAAATTAGGTATTTTTAGTCTTAAAAGAAGATAAATATCATATGAACTTAAATTAAAACAAAGTATTTGTTTTTTTTCTTATTTTAAATCTAAATTGTCTCGTTCAATTGGCAACCTGTCTCACCTACCTCCTTAATTCAATAAAATATTCACTTATTTTGAATAAAAAACAAATTTGTTTTTTTCAGTGTGTGATTTTAAACATACCCTTTTTTCATCATTTTTATAATTTTTCCATCATTTCTTGGGCTTTAGATGCATTTTGTTCTCAATTTTTTATTTTTTTTTCCCAGAGTGAATCCTACTGGTCCTGATCGAGGTTTAGGTAAGTTGGTATATTCATTCATAAATCAAAAAGGCTTTGTTATCAAAAATTTTCAGTCTGATTTAGTCATTTTTAACATCAATTATAAAGGAATAAATCTTGAGTTAAACTCTTGTTTTATCCGTTTTTCTTCATTTTAGGTTCTGATATTTATGCTGAGATTCCAGAACATACAGCAATCTATGATGGTGAGTGGAAGATTAAAACCTCACATAGACCAAAGCTAAATCATTTAACCCCTTAACACCTGCATTTAAACACAGGTATATAAAGACTTTTGCCTTTAAGTAGTTGCAAAATTGAAATTTTAAAACTTTACATTAATAGAAATGTAGGTATATTGCTAATTTGTGAATACATTTATAATAGTCAATGGTGGCTGTCACTACAGATCTGTCCCGGAAGCAGGATCCGTACCATCATCTCATTTGCACATGTGCAACTAGATATACATCCGGGTTTCCATAAATAATATCATTATGGTATTAAAATTACTTATTTCTTTCCTTAACTCACTAAAGAATACCAATTTACATCTTTAAAAAATGTTTTATGACTTTTCTGAGACAATTTTGATGCTTTTTACATTTTCTCCGTTTAACTGCTTCTCTGACGTCATCATCAGACATGCTCAGAATGCAAAATATCATTAACCCATGTTTATCTGCATTTTAGTTGTTTCATTCTGTAGATTACGCACTGTCTACCATAATGTTAACATAAAGGAAAACATAAAATTCAAAAAGACTTAATAATGTTTAAATCTAAAGCGGTACAGATCAGGCAGAGAGTGATAAAACAGAAAGGATTTTAAGGTATTTATTTTCTCAGGAAATACATTATTAACCTTTAAAAAGGTTTGTCACATGTTTGCAATGATCAGAAAGGTTAACAAAAATAGGAAGTAAAACTTAACAGATTTAAAGAAAAGTTCAAAATCTAAATTTGAGATAAATCATATATGTTGCTTATTTTGAGAAGCATTTCTAAGAAAAAAAAATATAGCCCTGTTGAATTACTTTACACAGTTTAATAAACTGAATTGAAATAATTAATTGATCTTCAAATGGCTCTATTTTGATTTAAAGGAGCTTGTAATTGATTTTGTCACGATATGTAATTTTGCCAGAAATATGTTCATGGAGCTGCTAAGTTGTGAAGCATAAACTTTTTGGAAACCAAATTGAGGCTCAGCAAGAATCATTGGGGCACCTCTGGGCTGAGGAATTTTTTTAAATCAAAATCTTTTTTATTATTAAAAATTATTATTATTATTAATTTCACATTATAACAAATGAGCAGTGCCGAATAGTTGCTACAGAGACATGAGATGGATACATGTCAATCACACCATGCAAAAATGAAATGGGTCAAATAAACAGGAAAAAACAAAAAATAAAAAATAAAAAAAAAGAAAGAAAGAAAGAAATACAAGAAAGGGATGAAAGGAAATCGAACATTGTGCAAAATAATCCCCTTCATGTCACTGCCAGGTTACTAGTCATATTTTAAAAAGAAAAATCACAAGAGGCCCCACACCTTCTGAAAACTCTTATTTGAATGCTGTAGTGAATGTCTAATTTTCTAAGGAATTTAATAACTAATATTCAACTTCCTGTTTCACTGGCGTATACACTCCGTAATGCATAACCTAACACACAACCCTATATGTATCACGCACTCGTAAAATTTGGAAAAACATAGAACACACTATTCAAGTAAAAGCCCAATGTAATAAATGTAAGGTTGTTCTTATCACTCATTGAAGCTCATATTATATAAGATAAGCTAGACTTTATTGATCTAACATAGGAGAATTTCCCTTGTCATTGGCTCAATAGTCAAAAGAAAAAAGAAGGTGCAAAAGGTGCACAGGGTATATATATATATATATATATATATATATATATATATATATATATAT